GGGAGGGCAGGCGCCCAGCCCTGCCTATTTAAGGCAGAAAGATTGGCCAGCTCCCTTGCAGACACCCCCCCCCCTCCAGCTTCCCACTCCTGTGGCTGCTCTCCTGAGCTCCATCCTCTCCCTCCCCCAGAACAGAAGCCCCCACCTGGGCTTGTTTATGGCAGGAAAGTCAACAAGACAATCCACTTTGGGCTCCTGCTCTGAGTGTGCAGAGGGGCTCAGGGTGGCGTCATCTTTGAGCAAAACCGAGGAAAGCAGGAGAATTGTGCAGCATCTGGGGTGACTAGAAATAAATCAGAATTCCCCAGGTACCCCATATCATGTCCCCCACTAATTGCCCCCTTGCTCACTGCACTAGCCACACTGGCCTCCTTGCTGTTCCCTGAACATGCCAGGTATGTTCCATCCTCAGTAGGATGTGTCCCCCGCATCTCCTCCTGGCTCACTCCCTTGCTTCATTCAGAAACTTTGCTTACCCGATCCCCTCTCCCACCCTCTTTCCAAAATAGCTCTGTCATTCTGCACCTCAGGTGCCCTGCCTTTTTTCCTACATAGCAGCAATGACCCCATGGCTTAAAATTATATATTTCAGGTTGGCATTTGTTTATTGTTTCTCGAACTGGAATGTCAGCCCCTGGAGGGCAGAGATTCTTGACTGTTTTGTTCACTACTGCACCCTCCCCACCTCCAGTGCCTTGAACAGTGTCTGACACAAAGTAGGTGCTCAGGAAACTTTCGATGAAGGAATGAATGTATACAGCAGAATATTATACAACTGTTAAAATGGAAGGAGGCAATTTCTATATAGAACCATCACCAAGACAGAATGTTGAGTGGGGAAAGGAAAGTGCAGAGTGTATAGTATGAGGGTGGGTCAGAATTATCTGGAGGGTGTATTAAAACCTGAATTACTGATCCCCTCAGAGCTTCTGATTCCAGTCTGGAACCCCCCAAAATTGCATTTCTAACAGGTTCCCATGTGATGCTCTAGTCCAGTGGACCACATTTTGAGAACCACTGGCATAGGCCCTGGGACCTTACCCAAGAAACTGGAATTTGTAAAAAAGCAAAGCAAAGCTTGAAATTTCTGGTATGTAAACTGTTTCTGCCAGTAGATGCATTGAAAGGCCTGCAGGGACTTCCAAGGTGACACAGAGGTGATTTCAGGGAAGAGGGTGCATTTAGGGAGCCAAGTGAGGGATAAGGGAACAGGTTGGTACAATGAAGTGGTTAAGGAGGCATAGCTTGGAGTCTAATTGCCAGGGTTCGAATTCAGCTCTGGCGCTTCCCAGCTGTGTGACCTTGAGCAGGTTACTTCACCTCTCTGGGCCTTGGTTTCCTCATCTGTAACAGGGCATCCTTCAACTCCCTCTGTGATGGGGTTGTGAGGATTCAGTGAGTTAAAAGAGCAGTTCCTTTTAAGTACTCAATAAATGTTAGCTTTTATTTTACATGAAAGCTCTGAATTTCTAACAAGGAAAATATAAAATCACGATTACTTGTGTAATTAAAAATAAGTGTTAGTGAGTTCTTCAGGTCTAATTTCAATTCTGCCGTCATAGGGAAGGCAGGAGTTAGGGGGAATGGAAAGGAGAGGCCTCCTCTACCTTTGTGCCTGGGCCCCCCCAGCACTCCCTCCCCCAGTCTATTCTAAGTCTAACCTCATTCTTTCCAGCTGCAAAGGGATGAATCTTTAAAAGACCAGAAGGTCTTTGGTTTGAATCTGGCTCCCCATTTGCCCCCAATACCGAGTGGGCTTGAGGGCGTCAAGCTCAGGCAGGCTTAACATGAGTGTGGTTAGGGCTTGGGGAGACCTAACCCCTTCGCCCAAACTTTTTCAGACCTTTGTTCCTGCCCGCACATCCCTAGTCTGTGTCCAATTCCCTTTGTCTCTGTTAGGAAGTCCTTCTGCAAGTCTAACTTAAGTCCTTCTTGCTGGAAGGAGACCTTCTTCCTTGGTGGGAGAGAGAGGGACCTCCACCCCCTGCCAGGACTCCTGCCTGTTTCCTCTGAGACCCTGTTCCTGCCTCCCCATCAGTCTTGTGAGAAACGAAGGAAGTCTGGCTTCAGCGCTCTTGCTTCAAAGGGGTTATAGTCCTGGGTGGCGGGTGGGAGAGGTAAGCATCGTAAGACAGAGGCTCAGGGATGAGTAGAGGCCTCCACCCCCTCTTCAGAAGGCCCCAGGAACCCCCAACACCGGAGGGGTTTATATTTAGCGCTTTTCTGCGCCTCTCTCGGGCCACTGTCTCCCTCCCGCTGCCTGCTGCCGCCTCCTCCCTGATGCCGGGACGGCGCTTTGCCTGGAGACTGGCGGGGAAGAGGCCTCCCTACTACCACCTCATGGGGGGGGGGTGCTGAGGGGCAGAGATGGGGTAGCTGAGGGGGAAGGGAGGGGAGACTGAGGCAGAGACTGAGGGGCAGTGAGGAAGGACACAGCTTGCCCATCCCCATGACTTTCCTCTCCTCCTAGAGCTGGGAGGCGCCTTCCCAAGCCCAGCCTGCCGGGGGTGGGTGGCGGGGAGCTGGTGAAGGCCCCCACAATGCTTCTCTAACTTTGGGAGGGGGTGGCGCCTCCCACAGCTGTTTCTGTTTCCAGAGAAGAATGTGCAGGGTCCCACTCCCGGCCGGGGGAGGGGCTGGGCCTGCAGCCTCTGAGTCTGGCTTCAGTCCCCTCCCCAGTCCCCATCTGGGGTGGGGGCAGTCGAGGTCAGCAGCAGGGAGAGCCCACTCCCCCACCACCTCGGCTCAGGTTTCCCCAAACGGGAAGCTCTGACCACCCACAGGCTTGGGGATGGGATCTGCACCGGGAGCTGGGGTCTGGGGCCTGGAGGGCTGGGGGGAGGGGAAGAGAGAGCAGAGACGGGGACCTGGGGCCGGAAAAGAGAGGTGCAGATGTGCAAAAGGGAAGAGCAGGGAGACAGAAACACACGGCAGGTCACAGAGATGTGCGGTGGGGAGAGTGTGAGGAACCCAGGAAGACGTCGGGAGAATCAAGGAATGAGGGGAGGGAGAGTGGGGAACGACAAGAGAGTCATTCTGGAGGCTTCTGCTCCACCTTCCCCCATTCAAGCGCCCAGAGAGCCCAGGAGTCAGACCCCCCATGCCGCCTCAGCCTGCCTCCTCTTGGGTTAACCAGGGTTGGGACCAGGTAGGAAAGGAGGAAAAGTACCACGGGTGGGCCACAATCACCGTGGGGTCCTCAGGAACTGTGAGCCTCCCCTGGGCAGGCATCCCTCCCTCCGGAGGCCCTAAGAGTCCCTCACCCCATCTGGCCCCCCGGAGACCTCCAAGCACACCAGGACCTAGGGAAGATGGAGCCCTGGCAGCAGGGGCCCAGAGTGGGGCACGTTTGGATCTGGGCAGTGTGACCTTGGGTGAGTCATTTGCCCTCTCTGAGCCTCAGTTTCTTTCTCTGTAAAATGGGGACTATCCCCCCTTATCACCCAAGCTGCAAGAAGACAACGCATGCTGAGTACTGGCCCCGGGCTTGACACATACTTGGCGCCCAGAAGGGTTTTCTTTGGGGAAGGGGTTCTGGGGATGGGGCCTGGGCATGTCTATAGACTCCAGCGGAGCCATGCGGTCCCTCCTTTCCCAGTTCGGGGGTGGGGAGGCCACATCCCGCCCGCCGCCCAGACT